TGGAGTTTTTAATCTATCTTTGTATGTCGCTTTATTTTTTGCTTTTTTTTTATCCTACTGATTTTCAGATGTTAGGTACTTTGTTTCAGCTGTGGCTGGTGTTTAAGTGCTTTATAAAGTTTGATGATGAAATACAACCAAAATGAGTGGTTTATTCAAAACACAATTTTCATACGTCATGTAAAACATTATAGTGTGACTGGACCTTAACCAGGCTCAAAGAAGTGCTCTTAGAAAACTTAGACTTTCAGCTCATTTTAGCAGCTAACTATTTTCCTCCTATTCTTAAAATCTTCCTTGCCAACCCTAAGTTATTTGCCTCAAATGTCTAGTATTGAACATCTAAACTTGATACTTGTGTGCTATTTAAGTGCCTGTGGTTGACAATTAAGAAGCTTGAAGCGCTTGTTATTGTTGGTCCTAAAACTCTTGTAGGAAATTAATTTCTCACAATTAAGTGTACTGTAGTGATTTTATCTGATCTGTAAAATAAACTATCACATTTGTTTATGGATCAAATTAAAATTCACTGACTCACGTAACTTATTGTGTGTCCATTCACTTTGCACTGGAAGAATATTTTACCGAAAATAAAGTGATTCTTGCTAAAATAAGTTCCTTATAACCTTGTTATAAGAGTGTAAGGTTACACCTTTCACCAGCAATCGGCGGTTGGGGAAAGCTAACACCTTACTTTCCTCCTGTTCTTACAGGATTAAGCTGTAAAAGAGTTCATGCACCGCTAGTTGGCAGTATTGTGCATATATTGTACATGAATTATTGCCAGCTAGTGAGTGTCAAATTGAACTTGCGCTTTAAAATAAGTTTCCACTAGTTTTTCTATGTCATAAGCGCTTTAGAAATTGCGGAGCTAATTTTTGGATTAGCGRTGCCCACCACTGGTATTTTTACCTGAAACGTCACCGGCTCTTCTGCATCCTACCCCAAACCATGTGTTTGATCCCCAGCCCCCTCCCTTCCTTAGCTGCCTTGCACTGAGCGAGTAGTTTTCTTTTTGAGCGTATGATTCTGTGTTTCTGTGTAAACATAGGATCAGAGCATTTTTTAAACTCATCTTTCCTATTGTGTGTATTCCAAGCTGTTTAAAGGTAGCGCGACCCCTACTGGTTGCTGCATGACCTGATCACCTGTTCCCCCATGTTTTTGTCATGTGTGTGTGTCTTCTTGAATGGGTGTTCTTAGATGTAATTTAATTGTGCAAATGATGACAACAAAGGCTTTCATCATCATCATCATCATCATCATCATGATTGTTTACATTAATTGTAACAACATTAATTGTTCTGTTTTTGCCTGTTGGTGCACAATGTTTTTTATGGTTTAAAGAAAAATACGTAATTTTTTTTCATTCAAAACCTTCAACTTTTATCAATAAAAACTTTGGTTAAGAAATATTCTCTAAAGTTTAACATCTTTTAATCTTAGTATAATGAAAAAATAACATTAAATAACAGGAATCCATAACCAGATCCACATAAGTCTACAGCTGGAAGGAGCAGAACAGCTGTCCTGTAGGGCTGAGCTGATCTTATCTGTCTGTCTACAGACTGACAAGATTTGCCAGTCTTTGCTGTAGCTGTACTTTTTTTTGACATAGTTATTTAGTGGCTGCAAAATGCAGCCATCACATCCTCTTGTTATTTACCTATCATCTTTTTCATTTATTTTGACTATTCATAATTTGACACAGTGTTTCAACTTGAAGGACGACTGGACGAGAAAAATACAACAAAGTCAGATCCACAGCAAATCCCACTGTCACCATCTCTCACACACATTTTTCTCTGACAGCCTCTGCAACTAAAGATTAAATTAATCACGTTATCTGAAACTTTTAGTCATTTCAAATAGGCTAATCCCACCATACACATTCACACACACACACACACACACACACACATTTTTCTCTGACAGCCTCTGAAACTAAAGATTAAATTAATCACATTTCCTGAGACTTTTAGTCATTTCAAATAGGCTAATCCCACCATACACATTCACACACACACACACACACACACACACATTTTTCTCTGACA